CGGTGAGATTAGAACCGCTGAACTGCAGATAACAGTCAGCTGAAGTGGCCTGCAGTACTGCACCCTAACCACTGCGCCACTTCGGCTCTTCTAGTAATTAAGTGAAACTACTTGGAGATTATATTAACTTCAATCTTTAACTTATGCCTTCTTTTTAATTTCCTTTATGCTGTCTTTTTAATTTTTCAGATCAAATAAAGCATTTGCAATACATATCTTTATATCTCTGCAGATTCTCTTTGTGATTAGCTTCTATGTGGTCCAGCCAAATGTTTAAATAATCAGAACTGCAGGATTCAGTAATAGAAGTATATCATTTCATTTCCATTTTAGAGCTGCTAATAACAACCAATTAGAAAATTGTAGGAGCTGTGGTATCTTGAAATTATCCACCTGGAATTATTCAACCTAGTTTATGTTTTTCATCACATGATTTAAATTTAATTGGAAAGAAATGGACTTTTGGGGTATGTTTGGGGTGGACAACCAATTGAAGAATCAGATAATTAAGTAGCTTCACACAGGTACATTTTATACTTCAAGTAGACCTTTTTACTACATCATCTTTGTTTTACCTCTTTTAAAGACCAGAAGTTAGCAGAATCAGAGCTTGAAGAGAAGAGAAACTCCTCATGAAGGGGTAGTTATTGAGGTGCTTATCTGGAGCTACATGTATACTTACACATTTCCAAAAAACTTTCCTCCCTTCTGACCCTACTATTTCTTGCAGGCAATTATACTCCAGGCGATTTCTTTTTCTATTAATAAAGATTATTTTAAACTCATAACCTGTTGGGGACAGTGGGTTTTTTTCAGTCACCATGTAAAATTGGGAAGGATGCTGTTTGTCTCCGCAAGGTATATCCACCCTCAGTTAGGTTTCAGTATGACTTTGGGTAGCATCAGTCAGTGCTGTTTTAAATGACTGTAGATCCCATTGCTGATCAGCTGCTGTTTGGTGAAGGTCCTTTTGTCAGTCATTGATGGGGGTTGGGAAGAGGATTGTGGACCAGATATAAACCTTATTTGGCAGTGGGCCTAAATCTTCCATGTCTTCTTAATACAAAGAGTTACAGATGAACAAAAAAATGAAATCCTTCATTGAAACCTGGAATTTCTCAGAAGTGTTTTGAAAAAAGCTTTCCAGTGTAATGCAAACAAAATTAAAACAGTGATCCTAGCTAAACCTCTGTGATCATTTGACATATTGCTGCACGATAATCAGTCTAAAGCTATCCATGCTTTTTGTAACATACTTTAGTGGGTAAGTTATTGTGTCTAGTGCAATTGGGTTTTAGCTGCCCCTTCGGTAGATTGTGTTTACAGCTAATCACAGAGTTCATGGCTACTGGATAAAACACCATAGGGGGAAGAAACTGTCTCCTTAAGCAATTTTCATTGGCAATAACTTTTCAAACAAGCCTTGCATATGCCAAATACTTATCTGTGATTTCCTGCAATTAAATTGGAATGGTGCCAAAATTATGCAACAAGGAGCTCAGCATGCATTTGTCAGCACTCCCTAAATCAAATGCATATTTTAGTGGGATTTCAAAGCTACCCACAAGTCCAGGAACAAGGAGGGCTGCAGAGCTATTTTAAGGAGGTGCCACAGTGTTCCCATCCTTGTTCCAAAGTACTGCTTTAGCTTTGGGCCTGAAACAACATGTCCTTAGCAAAGATTTGTCATAACTCATCCTTTTAGTATTATGAGTTTAAAGTAGGAGGTGCACTAATTATGAAACGAGATATGTAGACCTCTTCTTAAAAGCTGTGGCATCTCTGTTACTGAGGTGAAATATTTGTTTCTAGAAATGTTAGTTTTGTCCTTAGCATTATTATATTTGGGGCTGCTGGGTAATGTTCCTCATATGCCCCCTATTTTGTATTTATAAAGGATGGATAATACTTTTGTTTGTTTTATTATGTTATTTTAAGACATAGGCAGGACAATATATTATTTGAGTACAGTGTTGTTTATAAACAGAGATAAATAGAGATAATTAACACTCTTAATGGTTGAATAACTTAAACCTTTAAAAATAAAAATAAGCACTGATGATGTTGCTTGGTTTGGTAAGGAAACGTTTGCAAGAAAACAACCAAGCTCAGAGTGCACCAAAGGACCAACATAAAGGGGAAAAAATATCAATGCTAGTCAGTGTTAATAAGCACAAGTTTTGTTTGATTTTTATATCCAGAACTAAATATGGCATTAGTAAACAATTACAAATTACATCAACATATTTGTTATATGTGTGAAATGCTCCATTTCTTTGTTTTAAGTGTCATGGCTATAAGATATATTTATTTTGGAAGTTCTTATTGTTTTAAAACATTTTTTTATTGTTTTAATTGTTTTTATACTTTTTGAATTGTAAGCCACCCAGAGTCATTGTTTGAGATGGAGGGAGGAGTGGCTTCAGAAATTGAATGAATGAATAAATGAATGAATGAATTGAAGTGAATGCTTAATATTAAAAGTTTCCATTGGGGTGTTGTTGTACTGTTCTTAATTTTATTATTTATATATTGTATTCTTTTTCTTAAAAAAAGAAAAACTAGACAAAATAAAATAACAGCAACAAAGGGAAGCATTATTTTTTTNCCAGCGCTGTCCGAAGACGTCTCTGTGGTCATGTGGCCGGCATGACTCAACGCCCCCGAAGGCGTACGGAGCACTGTTCCCTTCCCACCAAAGGTGGCTCCTATTTTTCTACTTGCATTTTTTACATGCTTTCAAACTGCTAGGTTGGCAGAAGCTGGGACCAGTCAAGGGAGCTCACTCCGTTACGCGTCGCTAGGGATTCGAACCGCCAAACTGCCGACCTTTCTGATCGACAAGCTCAGCGTCTTAGCCCCTGAGCCGCCGTGTCCCTAAGAATGGACACGCAGCTGGAATTCTGGAGATTTAACCTTTTGCTTTCCTTTGACCTGTTCTATTTACACCAGTGGTGTCTCATCTTAAGATCTGTGGACTGAAACTCCCAGAATTCCCCAGCCAGGCTCCCTGGGGAATTCTGGGAGCTGAAGTCCCCAGGTCAAGATAGGATACCCCTGCTTTACACCAAAGACACCCCCTTTTCTTCCAACTCTTCGGTTCCTCAGCACGCCCACCCTGCAGGGTAGCACCCCACCAGACGTATGGACTTCCCCACCATTAACCTCCGTCTGCCCCATGGACGCCTAGGCACACAGCTCTCTTCCTGAATCCATGGGTGCAAAATCTAATCCATTACCTCTTCCCAGTCCAGAGCTCTGGAGAAAACCTCTGGGGTGTGGGGTGGGTTAAGGGTCCCAGGCCTAGACCCAAAGGGGCTCTAGAGGTGGAAGACCCCCACCCCTGATTCAGGAAAGCCAACCCTCTTAAAAGCAAGCCCCCACCCCACATTTCTCTTCCAACATTTTCTTTGTGGATTCAGAATGTGCAATTAGAAACAATTCCCAAGCGTAGTTCAGTTCTTCCAAACTTCCAGGTATATACCAGGCATTAGGGATCCCCTTTCTCATTGTGAGGGGGGGTACCCCAAAGACTCTAAAGGACCCCCAAGTAGCCCTCCCTCCCCACCAAGAGAGAGAGTCCAGGGTGACCAGGACAGGGACTTCCTAATGCCAGATGGGAGAAAACCCCAGGCTAACTCGGGGTTCTGCCTTAAGGGGGAGTGGGATGGTTCGGGGTTAAATTGGGTGGGAGGGGTCTCGCCGCCGCAGCAGAGGAGGGATGCACCTTCCTATCCCGCTGCAGCTCTGAACATATCCCCTCCCCCCAAAAAATTTCATTGATTGGAAAGTCAAAAATAAAGTGGAGGGGGGGGGGGGCTTCCCTTGGTTCATGAACCCAGAAAGGGGTTTGCTCGATTGGCAGGTCACAAAAAAGGGGGTTCGCTTGATTGGCAGGTGGAAAGAAAAGGGAATTGTTTGATTGGCAGGTCGAAAGAAAAGGGGGGTTCGCTTGATTGGCAGGTCTAAAGAAAAGGGGGTTCCTTTGATTGGCAGGTGAAAAGAAAAGGGGATCCTTTGATTGGCAGGTGGAAATATGA